AGAACTTTCTTTCTTTAATCTCCCTAAAATAAAATCAATCCTAGAACAAAAAATTTACAACCTTAATTTTTTTCGTTCTTAAACTAAATTTCACAAATAAGAATATAAAGAAAATTGAAATTTCATATCTTGCAATTTACAAAATTATAAGTCAAATCTAAAATTTTTTACCGAATTAGTTATGAATCAAGAATTATCCATCTCGATTTTGTCTAAACAATTCGAAATAAAATGATAAATCGAATACCTTAATAAATAAAAAATGAAAGAAATTGGATTAGAGAAAAGTTTTAAAAAGTTGTCAATAAAATCTAATCCTAACGCAAATTTAGTAAATTTGTGTTTAATTGATAAATATTATATTTGAATAAATAAAAATAAAAGCATTAGAGAGAGATTAGGAATATTTAAGAACAAACTGAATAAAACAAACATATAAATTGTTTTTAGAAAACCAAAAAATGATTTCAGCCGAGATATGGGCCAATGAAATTGTTGGGATTATGTAGCACGTCGAAACGAGTCCAAAGGATGAAAAACATATTCTGGCCATGTAAGGCCAAGTTGGCTGAATGGACATGTCAAGACGTTGTGCATATAAGGGTTTGGACGCTAAGGAAATAACAAGAAAACACGGAGGCCCGTTCTTGGTTGAGTTACGCTGTTGGCAATGCTACGACAACTTTTCTTTAAATAAGTTTGTTTTCTTTAGGTTTTTAATGGGTGTTGTTGCACATATCGAGGGCGCCCGTGAATAGTAGTTGGTGCTCTGCTTCAGAGGCGTGGCATCAGTGTTTGGTAGAGTTTTAGAGGCAAGATCTCGCGGTTGTAGAGATAAGTTAATTCTCGTAGGTATTTTGTCAGGTTTTTCATTCCTGATTCCTAGGATTATATATCGTTCTACAAGCTAGGGCTTTTGTCGAGGCCTCTACATTTGAGAGATGTATTGCCCGTTGTATTTATCTCAGTATATCCTGTTGTCGACTGGACGTAGCCCATAGTTGGATTAATTATTGTTTACTGCGCTCTGCGCTTTCCCTATATTTCTAATTGTGTGGTTGACTTAGTTTTCACCGAAGAAGTGTGGAAATGAAAAATATTATGGATAGGTAATTTTCCCAACAAAATCACCACTAGCGATTTCGGCCGGTATAATTATTGGAATTCCAAGCTGAAATCATTAATTTCGATTGGTACATTGGCCGGAGTTGTAGCAATTTTTCTTCTTGTTCTTTATTCTTGTAGAGTAGGAGCAAGTGGTAGAGGAGAATGGTAGAAATTGAAAGTTTGAACACAAAAAAAGAATTCAGATCTCTCTCTCATAAAACGATTCTCAACTTGACAATGTCTTCGCCCATCGTCACCATAGCGAGTCAATTGGAATCGATTTCCCCTTTTATTAACTGATTTGTTTCCCACATTTTTTGCTTTTGGATAAATCTTCACAATCTAGAGGGAGGTTGAAATTTTTGTTCTAAGAAAATTTTTTTTGTTAAGAGAAATGTTAAGAAATAAAGAGAAGTGAAAAAATAGGTAGAAAAGTAATTCCAAAATACCGGAAAAAACTACTTTTTAGAAAACGACCCATGAAAAGAAAATTTTAGAGTTACAGAAATATGAAAACTGCTCTCTAAATTACACTATTTTTAATCTCTAAACTTTCCTGCTTAATTTTAATCTTTCAACTTTAAAAAATGTTTCTTGTACTTAATTGTGTTTTAGCATTATGTTTTAAACTATTTCAATGATTGCTGTTAAATTTTCGTAAGTCAATTTATGACAAACAATTGAATATATATATTGGATGGTGGGACAGGGCTGCTTGGTAGGATAGATTAAAAAATTCTTAGAAAATATCTTTTTCCTTTGTTTTATAGTGTGTTTTGTCTGTTTGTTTCAAGCACTTAAAAAAAAAAAAAAAAGGTATATTTACTTTATCGACTCTAATAAAAATGATGGTAAGGATGAAAGAAAATCCATTACTTTGTTCGTCAAAGTAAAGGATCTTTATCAACTAAATTTGACCTTTGAGACAACAAACAATGTATTTGCGAGTATTAATAGAAACATGTTTTTATTCTTTGTCCTATTTTTGTAATCTCACCGCAAAGATTTGAATATAGTCTTCTTTTTATTGTCATTATATTTCAATCTTTTAAATCCAAAAATTAATTTATAGAATTATTAGCCGCCGACAATGACAACATTGCAATATTAGGTTTACATATTTTATATATAGTCAAACAAATTTAATTTATATTTGAAAAAAATACATTTATTATCAGTTTTGTTCATATATAATTACATGAAGTCTCTCTTCTCTTCGTCTATTGCTCGGGCGATAGCAACAAACTACAGGCTCAAGAGACCTCCTTGAAAAAGAGGAGGATCACAACCTTATGGAAGACTTTTTTCCGTACATGGAACATCCGAAAAGGTTTCCTCTCCTCGAGGAGATGAATGCAGGATCATTTTTTCCTATTTTGCAAGGGACATACACTGCATATACATATATAGTATGAAGTCTAGATGAGGAAATTATTTTAGATAATACTATTATTCATTTTTCTTTTAAAAACTTGATTTATCTTTTATTTGATGTAATACATGGTTCTCTCAATAAATTAAGTTTATTAAAACTGAAAACAATTATTAATATAACAAAATCTTTTACTTATCTCGATAGTTGAGTAATTACTTTTTAAAATATTACAAGATCTTTTAAATTCTCTAGTCTTAATAAGATTGATAATTAGATTGATGTTTTTGCATGATCTCTTTAAATGATATCTTTATTTGTATTATCATTTGAGTATATAAAAGCTTCTCTCCTATAATAAAATAAACCATTAATAAACAAAAATTATTAAAAAAATAGATACTGTTTATGTCCAAATCTAACCACTTTGAGAGCACGTGCGAGGTGGACAAGAACAAGCTATTCAAAATGAGTTAGGTGAGAAAAAGATTTACACAAAGAGAACAAACACTCTGACACTCAAGTTAGTAAGAATTCGATTTATAGCTCTCATGAATCAAAATCGCATACCTGCATACAAAAATGACTCTATTTATAGGTGGAAGGCGGTGGGTCGCACGTCTCCGATCTGGTAATTAAGGTCGTTTTAGAAATCAGTTGTATGGTAAAAATACTAGTGCGAGACATTCTCAAGGCTATTAGTCGTAACCCACCTGAACATAATCATTATTGTCGATCTTAATAGCTTGACCACGCATATGATATCTAAGATTCATTGAGCTGCGAAAGTTCATGTGATATGATTTTTCTTCATTCTTCCAAGTGATAGGCCGTATTTTACCTTCCATTAGTTATCGTAAATTAAACCATCATTTAGACTTTATATGTTTTCTCCTCCTCCCGCTTAATAAAATAGTTTATTAATAGAGAAGATCATAAAATAAAAGAAAAAAACAAATACCACTGTATATGTTAAACTTTTCAAGAAGCATAAGAAAAGACAATTCAATTGTGATGTTCAACAGCTTATCTATTTTTTGGTACTCATAAAAAATAAAAACAAAAATCCAGCTTAATCTATCGTACTAAAAGAAAAAAACAAATATATTATTTTGTACCTATAACTCACCATATCTCTCTTGCCTTTTCATTTAACAATATTTTATCAACAATTTTGACTTTTGAATTTCACCAATAACTTTTAATTTCCTATTATAGCGTGGCTTTCAAA